TAACTCAGAGGCCCTAGGCATTTCAGCATTTGCTGAAATCCGAGACTCGGTGCACACCAACCAACTGGTGTGCTGCAACTGTATGAACCCCACTTCGTGAAATGTTGGCACAAAGGGCTCTTGTTGATTTGTTGGCCCGCCTTCACTTAGGGCGGGCACGAGGCTTGCTGGGGCCTTAGCCCAGAACATGTACATCATGGCAAGGCCCCTACTTGAGGGCTCAATCCTCACACTCGGTTATGATGTACATCGCTCATCTGAGCATGTAACAGTTGGTATCGGAGCACCGCACGTGAATCAAGACAACCTGATATGACACGTGTGCGGGGACTAAATAGCTGATTAGTGTTTATTGATTGATTAGAGGCTTTAGAGCACATTAGTTAGACCCCAAAATCAGGATTTTGACCTTACTACCGAAAATCAAATTTTTTTTCTTTTGTTGGATTTTATTTTCTTGCTATTCCGTTGTGGAAAATCGCATTAGTGCAACATCTGAAATCTCCATTTTCGTTTTTTCTTCTGAAAATTCGAAATTTCGTTGTTAAAAATCCGGAATATTTTTCTTTTCGAAAATTTTGATTTCCTGTTGCATTTTCCGTCACTTATTAATTCGGAATATCTTCTGTTTCGAAATTCGTTTTTTTTTAAAACGGTACGGAAAATCCCTCCTGCAGGTATTATTTTCCAAATTGCGAATATTTTTTCATCTAAGAAAATTCGAATACTTGTCATTTCTTTTCGGAAATTTTTTTTTCGCAGTTCTAGGATTCTGTTAGTTAGTTCTTTAATCATTTGCAGTCTGAAGTCGAAATTTTTCCTCCATTGATCGTTTCGAACTTCAAGGGAGCTTTTCTTTTTTTGATTAGTGGCTCCTTATCTGGGCGATTCTTCCCACCCACCCTCCCCATCTATGTTGTTGCCCCCTCTGGCCTTACCTTCTCTGCCTATCTCCGGGTACCCCCTGCGACGACATTGGTGAGTTGCCGCGTCAGCAGGCCACGTCAGCAGACTACGTCAGCAGGACACGCCAGCAGACCACGTCAGCAGGCCACGTCAGCAGGACACGTCAGCAGGACACGTCAGCAGGACACGTCAGCAGGACACGTCAGCCGACAGAGCAGGAATACCACGTCAGCAGGCCCCCGGCCTGGTACAAGCTGTTGCGGTCACAGACAGCCGTCATGGACCAGAAGCCCGGTGAAGTAGACGAGGCCTATCAGGCCCGGATGCTGGCTTGGAGTACCGAGACAAAGAAACGGGCAGACATGTCGGCTCCCTCCGGGACGGCGCACAGTTACAGCAGACCGCGACGCAACAGTTGCAACAGCGGATCTGTACCACCGCCAATACCTCGAGTTCGGAGTCGCGCGAGACAACTCCAAAGTTTGACGGGCAGGAGATCTTCTGCGACTCGATCAAGACAAATCCGATTCCATGGTTCCGCAAGTTCGAGCTCACGCTGCAGCTCCACAACGTCAAAGAACACAAGCACCACGCATACTTGTACTCTCGCTCAGGGGGCGCGTGCCAGGCTTGGTTGGACAACCTCTTGTCCAAGTACGGAGTGGTAGCTGCCGACTTGCACACCAAGATCAGTTGGGATGATTTGAAGGCGGCGTGGCACAAGCGGTTCCAGGTTGAGCCGCCGGAGATCAAAGCTATGGACAAGCTCATGGTCTTCGAACAAGGCACGCTGCCGAGTACCGACTGGATCGCCGAGTAACCACGCTTGACGTCAGTCCTAGACATCTTGATGGGCTTCAAAGCCATCCGCCATCACTTCATCTCAAGGTCATGTCCGACATTAAGTAATGCCCTGACTCACGTCGAGGACACCTTGACGACGACGACGAAACTTTTTGACAAGGTCGCGCAGATCATCATTACGAACAAGGAGGCAAAGAATCTGCATTTGTCTGCGGCAGGCCCGAGCAGGGACCAGCATCGGCCAAGAGTGGCCGTGGTCGCGGCAGCAACGCCGTTTGACCAAACCAGCGAGGCTGTATCTCCCAGTGAAGGGGACAGACTCGCAGCCGCCCGGGAAGGTGGCTGCCTCTGTAGAGGCCGAGGACGCGGCAAGTCGAAGACAAACACCGCATCTGGCCCCGGGCACGACGCAGCAGCTCCAGCCCCTTGGACCCAATACGGCATCTCCGAGCTAGCATTCAAGGCGCGCACGAGATTCCACTATTGCCTATGGTGCAACAGTGATCTGCATCAGACACAGGTCTGCCCATTGAAAGGCAAGGGCAAACAGGGAAACTAAGCACCGCCGAGAGTGACTCGACAACACTCTCGACGCCTTCGGAACCGGTTTCTTCGCGAGTAACCGGCCTTCATTCCGAGGTGCACGCGGAAGTCGATAGTCCTCCTCTTCTACTTTCTTTTGAGGATTATGCTGCCCGGCTCGTTCCTACGCTGGGTACTCGAGCTCAAGGACAAGAAGTGTGTGCGGTTTCTTCTCCGTCCGGCAGTGGCGACATATCGTCTTCAAGTGGTGCTTCACGGGAATCGACGAGCGAGTTCAACATAGAGGTATTGGACCCGCTCACGTCTGAGGACTTCGCATGGCTTCCTCTCCCGACCACGGGCCGCTTGCCGGGACCGCAATGCGCGACACTATGCGCTCATCTCCACACTTACTTATCCTTCTATGCACCACCAACTTCGCCGACGGAAGACGAAGTTGCGGTGGGGGACATCCTTGCGTATGCTACCAAGGTGGCCCGCGAGTTTCGCACGCAGCGGTACGATGACAACAATGCACCGCTCACGTATGTCCGCATCCAGGTTGGGCAAGCGTCCTGCAACGCTTTGCTGGATAGCGGCGCGTCTCGCAATTTCATGAGCCAATCCTTTATGCAAAGGGCTGGCCTTGGCACACAAATTCGGAGGAAGGCAGACCCGACGACGATCAAGTTGGCGGATGGGAAAACGCAGCAACTTCTCGACCGTTACATCGAGGCCGTACCGGTCTACTTYGCACCTCATGCATGCGAACCGGTGACATTCGATATTCTCGACACGGACTTCGACATCATTCTGGGAATGCCTTGGCTTGCAAGTGCGGATCACACGGTCAACTTCCAYCGACGGACTCTTAGCGTTCGCAACGCCTTCGGCGCGGAAGTGGCGTGTACTATTCCTCTACCGCACCCTTCGATTCGGTGCCAAGTGGTGACGGCGAAATCATTCATGGCGACTTGCGCTTACGAGCAGCCCGATGAGATCGGCCTATGTTTCCTATGGACCGTCGCAGTAGCCGACGACTCACCCACGGACTTGTCTTCGGACCCCCGGGTGGTGCGGTTGCTGGACGAGTTCGCCGACATCTTCGAGTCACCTACCGGTGTGGTGCCGGATCGGCCGATCTCTCACGAGATCATTCTTCAGGCCTTTGTCATGCCGCCGAAAGGTTGCATTTATCGCATGAGCGAGGAGGAGCTTGAGGTCCTCCGCGCACAACTCGACGATTTGTTGGCTAAGGGTTGGATCCGCCCTACCAGCTCCCCATATGGAGCACCGGTTCTTTTCGTCCGGAAGAAGAACAAGGATCTACGATTGTGTATCGACTACCGCAAGCTCAACGCGCAAACCGTCAAGAATGTGGGGCCTCTTCCTCGCATCGACGATCTTCTTGAGCGACTGGGCGACGCAAAGTATTTTTCTAAGTTGGATTTGAAATCGGGATATCATCAAATCTCGATCCGGCCGAACGATCGCTACAAGTCTGCGTTCAAGACGCAGTACGGGCATTTTGAGTGGGTGGTCATGCCTTTTGGCCTCACCAACGCCCCGACGACCTTTCAAGCGGAAATGACCAATGAGTTCCATGCAATGTTGGACCGGTTCGTGTTGGTCTACTTAGACGATATTCTCGTTTATAGCCGGTCATTGGAGGATCATTTTGGACATCTTCGACGAGTGTTGGAGACGCTCCGCCGCGCCAAGTACAAGGCCAACCACGACAAGTGCGAATTTGTCCGGCAAGAGCTGGAATACTTGGGCCATTTTGTCACACCGGAGGGCATCAGTCCGCTATCGGACAAGATTCAAGCCATCCAAGAGTGGCCGGAGCCTCGGAACATCACGGATGTCCGCTCGTTCCTCGGTCTTACCGGCTACTATCAGCGCTTCATCAAAGGCTACTCCAAGATCGCGGCCCACTTGAACAAGCTTCAATGCGAGGATCGGCCGTTTGACTTCGGAGAGGAGGCGCGGGAATCATTTTTGGCTCTCAAAGCCGCGCTATTATCTGTGGAGGTCTTGCGGATATACGGCCCGTTTTTGCCTACGCGTGTCACCACGGATGCGTCAGGCTATGGCATTGGTGCAGTCCTTGAGCAACATGATGGTGTGGACTGGCACCCGGTCGAGTATTTCAGCAAGAAAGTGCCCGTCGTGCATTCCATTGACGATGCACGCAAGAAGGAGCTCCTCGCCTTCGTCCACGCGCTCAAGTGGTGGTGGCACTTCCTCCTTGGTCGAAGCCAATTTCGATGGGTAGCGGACAACAATCCGTTGGTCTTCTATAAGACCCAAGACACTGTCAACAGCACCATCGCTCGATGGATGGCTTTCATCGACCGGTTCGACTTCTTTCCCGATCACATTCCCGGGAAGTCGAACCGTTTTGCGGATGCTCTTTCACGGCGTCCGGATCATTGTACCGCGGTCTACTCAACCTTTGAGATCGACGATGCCTTGCGGAACAGCTTCATCCGCGGCTACCAAGCCGACCCCGAGTTTCGCGACAAGTACGCGAATTGCTCCTCTCCTAATCCGGCGCCTTCTCACTACCGGATCCAAGAGGGGTACTTGCTTGTCCACACGCGGGGGAAGGACCTTCTTTGCGTACCGAGTGATCCTCACTTGCGTACAGGGCTTCTTAGCGAGTTCCACGACGCTCCCGCCACTGGACATTTTGGCGTCAATCGCACGATTGGCCGACTCCACGAGCGATTTTGATGGCCCGGCCTTCTCGGCGACGTCACATGCTATTGCGAGTCATGCGAGGTTTGCCGACGCTGCAAATCCCGCAATCATCGTCCGTACGGCGAGTTACGACCACTACCAGTCCCGTTGAGGCGAAGGGAAGCGATTGCCATGGACATTACCGGCCCGTTCCCCAAGCACAAGACCGGAGTGGATGGGATTCTCACGGTGGTCGACCGACTCACCAAGTTCGCCATGTTCTTCCCTTGTCGCTATCATGCCAAGGCACCGGAGTTGGTCGAGGTTCTTTACGCCGGTTGGATTCGAACCAAGGGTTACCTTAAGGAGATCGTCTGCGACCGCGACACCCGGTTCATGTCCGATTTTTGGTTGGCGCTCATCAAGCGATGGGGCTCATCTCTCAAGCCCAGTTCAGCTCGCCACCCTCAGACCGATGGCCAAACGGAGAGGGCGCACCAGACCGCACAGGTTCTCCTTCGCACTCTCATTCGTCTGGACCAGAAGGACTGGGTTGAGCGGCTACCAGATGTCGAGTTGGCCTACAACTCCTCTATCCACCCGGCTATCGGGATGTCGCCCTTTGAGTTCGAGCACGGCTCACCGGTCACTTCACCGTTGGACACTATCACTCCACGAACGGCCGAGAGCGACGACCATCTTCTTTTCTTGCGTCGGATGCAAGAGCTTCTTGTCAAGGCACGCGACCAGATGGCAAAGACGCAGCAGCGCATGAGCCAGCAGCCCAATCGCCAGCGTCTTCCTTGCCCATTCCGCGCTGGCGACCTCGTGTGGGTTTCCACAGCGGAATTCAGCCTTGAACAAGACATCTCTCGCAAGCTCCTCCCGAAATGGATGGGGCCTTGGCCGATCGTAGCGCCCGCTGGGGACGCACCCGAGGGACCTTCCTTCACAATTCAGGTGCCCGGCCACTTGCCCGTCTACCCAGTCTTTCATTGCTCCAAGTTGGTTTTATACACGCCAGCGGAACATGACGATTTTCCCGGGAGACGTTCGCAAGACCCACCTTCTATGGACGGTTTTCAGGAGGTCGGCGACATCATCTCC